TAGACTTACGAAGGAAAAGGAAAGTATTCAAATCAATTAGAAATGAAAGACGAGATATTACAACTGATACCATATAAATACAGACGGTCATAAGAGACTACTATGAACAATTATATGCTACCAAATTGGACAAGCTGGAAGAAGATGATAAATTCCTAGAGACATACAACCTAACAAGACTGAATCATGAAGAACTAGAAAATCTGAAAAGACCAATTACTAGCTAGCAAATTGAATTAGTAATCAGTAGCCCCCCACAAAGAAAAGTCCAGAACCAGATGGCTTCCCTTGGGCATTCTAGCAAATAAATTCATACCAATCCTTCTCACACTCTTCCAAAAAACAGAAGAGTAGGGAAGATTTCCAAACTCATTTTATGAGGCCATCACTACCCTGATACCAAAACCAGACAAGGGCACTACAGAAAAAGAACATTACAGGACAATATCCCTGATGACTATAGATGCAAAAGTCCTCAACAAAATATTAGCACACCAAATTTAATGGTCCATGTAAAAGATCATACACCATGATCAAGTGGGATTTATTCCAGGGATGCAAGGATAGTTTGACATATGCAAATCAACCAATGTGAGACAACACATTAAAATGAAGAATAAAAATCATATGATCATATCAACTGATGCAAGAAAAGCATTTGACAAATTCAACATCCATTCACGATAGAAACTCAACAAACTGGGTATAGAGGGAATATACCTCAACATAATAAAAGCCACATAGGAGAAGCCCACAGCTAACATCACACTCAGTGGTGAAAAGCTAAAAGCTTTTCCTCTAAGATTATGAGCAAGACAAGTATAACCACTCTTGTCACTTTCATTCAAGACAGTACTAGAAGTCCTAGCCAGAGCAGTTAGGCAAGAAATAGAAATAAAGGGCATCCAGATTGGAAAGAAATAAGTAAAACTGTATTCATTTGCAGATGACATGATATCATATAAGAAAATGATAAGACTCCACCAAAAAAACTTAATAAATCAATCAAGTTGCAGGACACAAAATCAATATACAAAAATCTGTTGCATTTATATACACTAACACCAAACTATCAGAAAGAGAAATTAAGAAAACAATCCCTTAGGGCTGGCTGAGTGGCTCAGTTGGTTAACAGCTCGCTCAAGAGTTTGAGCTCTGAGCAACAGTGGTTCAATGCCTGGCCCGAGCTGAGCAGCCACTGAGCTGCCAACAGGTGGAAGGATGGCTCAGCTTAAAAAAAAAAAAAAAAGAAAGAAAATCCCATTTACAATTGTATCAAAAAGAATAAAATACCCAGGAATTTAACCAAGGAGGTGAAAAATCAGTATACTGAAAACTATAAGACACTGATGAAAGAAAATGAAGAAGGCACAAATAAATGGAAAAATATTCTGTGCTTATGGACTAAAAAAAGTAATATTGTTAATATGCCCATACTACTGAAAGCAATGCAATACTATCAATAGTCAATGGCATTTCTCACAGAAAAAAAAAAACAACAACCCTAAAACTCATATAGAACCACAAAGGGCCCTAAATAGCCAATGCAATCTTGAGAAAGCAGAACAAAGCTAGAGGCATCATGCTTTCTGATTTCAAACTATATTACAAACCTATAATAAAACAAAACCCCAAAAATACAGTATGGTATTGGCATAAAAACAGGCACACAGATCAACAGAACAGAATAGTGAGCCCAGAAATAAACCCATGCATATATAGTCAATTAATTTGTGACAAAGGAGCCAAGAACATACAATGGGGGAAAGGATAGTCTCTTCAATAAAGGGTGTTGGGAAGACTGGACAGCCACATGCAAAAGAAGGAAAAGACCCCTACCTTACACAATACACAAAAGCGAACTCAAAATGGATTAAAGACTTGAACATATGACCTGAAACCATAAAACTCCTAGAAGGAAATGGGTAAACTCCTTGACATTGGTCTTGGCAATGATTTTGCATTTGACACCGAAAGCAAAGGCAACAAAAACAAAAATAAACAAGTGGGACCATATCAAACTAAAAAACTGCACAGCAAAAGAAAGCATCAAAAAAATGAAAAGGCATCCTACCAAATGGGAGAAAATACTTGCAAATCATGTATCTGATAAGGGGCTAATATCCAAAATATATAAAGAATTCAAAGAACTCAACTACATAAAACCCCAAAGAATCCATGTACCCTGTCCACCATCAACAAACATGAAGTCCTTCATGAAGCCTTATCCTGTCTACCCTTGGCCACCTCCCTAAATTTATATGCAAGGTCCCCCTTTTCTGAAACCTTAAAACTAGCTTGTCTCCCTCAGGAAATTAAAGATCATAAATGAAAGGGCAGCCTACAGAATGGGAGAAAATATTTGCAAATCATATATCTGCTAAGGGGTTAATATCCAAGATATATAAAGAACTTATAAAACTCAATAGAAACAAAATCTGATTAAAAAATGGGCAGAGGATCTGAATTGATATTTTCCCAAAGAAGACATACAGATGGCCAACAGGTCCATGAAAAGGTGCTCAACATCAGTAATCATCGGGGAAATGCAAGCCAAAACCACAATGAAATAGCACCTCACAGCTGTTAGAATGGCCATCATCAAAAAGACAAGAGATAACAAGTATTGGCGAGGATGTGGAGAAAAGGGAACCCTTGTACACTCTTGGTAGGAATGTAAATTGATGCAACCACTATAGAAAACAGTATGAAGGTTCCTCAAAAAAATTAAAACTACAATATGATCCAGCAATTCCACTCTAGCGATAGATCTGAAGAAAACAAAATCACTATCAAAATGATATCTGCACCCCAGGTCCATTGCAGTGTTATTTATAATAGCCAGGCCATGGAAACAACGTTAAGTGTACATTGATGGATGAATGGATAGAGAAAACATGGTACATACATATATACAATGAAATATTATTCAAACATAAAAAAGAAAATCCTGCCATTTGCAGCAACATACGTGGACCTTGAGGGCATTATGCTAAGTGACGTAAGTTGGACAGAGGACAAATACTATATGATCTCTCATATATGTGGAATCTAAGCAAATCGAACTCAGAGAAACAGAACAGATTGGTGACTGCCAGAGATGGGGGGGTGGGAGGTGAGGGAAATGGGTCCAGGTGGCCAATAGGTAAAAACTTCAATTATAAAGTAAAGAAGTCCCTGGGGATGTAAAGTACAGCATGATGACTAGAGTTCACAACACTGTATTATATACTGGAAAGTTGCTAAGAGAGTCAATTTTAAAAGTTCTCACTACAAAAAAAACCAAAAACAACTATGTGAGATGATGGATATTAACTAAACATCGTGATCAGTTAGCAATATATACATATATAAAATCATGTACACCTTAAACTAATACGATATTTAGTGTCCATTATATCTCAGTAAGACTGAAAAAAAACAAAGGTTTTCACTAACTGTTTGACCCAGAAATCCCATCCATTAGAAAAATCTTGTTAATTATGTTACAGTAGTCTCCTTTATCCACACAGATACATTCTGAGACCACTGGATGCCTGAAACTGGATAGTACTGCTTTTCCTATACATACATACATGCATACATACATACACTTTACTGCTTCTCTGGCGTATCTGAACTGCTGCATCATTCTTCTTGTGCTTTAAGGCATTAAGTAAAATAACGGTTACTTGAACACAAGTTCTGGGATACTGTGACAGTCGCTCTAGTAACTGAGATGGCCGCTAAGGGAGTAACGGGAGGGTAGCATAGACAGCATGGGCTTCCTGGACAAAGGGAGGATTTAAGTCCTGGGCGGGGTGGAGCGGAACAGAGCAGGACAGAGCAAGATCTCATCACACTGCTCAGAACAGTGTGCAGTAAATCTTACAAATTGTTTATTTCTGGGATTTTCCACATAATGTTTTCATCTGCGATTGACTGCAAGTAACTGAGACAGCAGAAAGCAAAACTGTGGATAAGGGGGAACTGCTGTATTCGCATCTATGCTACCCTTACTGATTTAGATCTACTTGATCTAATGGCAGTATGTTAATGTCCCCAAACTTCTGGCAAGACAAATCAAGAGAAGAAGAGAAAACCAGGATTATGAATGTAAAGGGAAATACAACTAAGGATAATACAATTATATGCTAACAATTTTGAAAACAGACAAGGGAAAGTTCATTAAAAAAATATATGTATACTTTATGAGATGTGACTGAAGAAATTAAAAGCTTGAATAGTTCTGCAATTATTAAAGATATTGAAATAGTTGTTAAACATCTTCCCACAAAGATGAAATTAGATAATGAGTAGTTAAAAGAATGTATTTTTATGGAGGTCAGGAGAAAGGTGAGGGCTAATCCCTGTCAATATGCTATCAAAGAATGTGTAAAGTAGAAAAACAACTATGATAACAATTATTTTAAAATAAATAACAATACCTTGAACATGTATAATAACATAAGCCAATGCTGTTCTGAACAGACCAGCTTGCAACTTGCCCAGCTCGAGCTGCTCACATGCTGAGTGAGGTGCCAGGGCCATTCTGTGGGGCAGAGGCTGTCCCTACCAGACCAATCCTAACCCCCTACAACCTGCTTCCTGGGAAAGGAAGAGTGCCTTTGTAGGTAGCCTTATGGAAATGAGCCAATTACGATATAGAAAATAAGGAACTGGAGCAGAAAGGAAACCATTGTAAAGGTCTGGGAGTCTGAAAGTATTTAGTTGCTAAAGATGTTCAGATTTTTTTATTTGTGAGATAGGGAAGGGTACTCCACTGTCCCCATTTCCAACACATATTATATATATTTTCAAAGCTCATCTCCATGGCTAATAGGGCTCTATTGGTATCATTTTGGGGGACGCAGGATGAAGGTTAGTAGCTGAACTAGCTGCGCAAAGGGAGCTCAAGCCTCTTTCTACATGTAAATATCTCTGCCTTCGGTAGCAGCATTGCCAAAAGTAACCTCACTGAACCACATGAACAGACTTCAAAAGGAACTTCAACCACTCACCTGGATACAAGCCAGAGGCTCATTTGTCCAAATCGAATATCCACCAACTAAATATATTCTCTCATTATGGACAGCAACTCCAGATTCATTTTGGCCTAAAGTAAAGAGAATTGAATAAAAAGAAAAAAATGAATCCATTTCCTTGCGTGTCTTAATTAACCCCTTTGCCACTGAGGGATACAATTTCCGCCTGTGGCACACCTGTATACGCCACAGGACTTTTGCAGCAATCACTGCCTCCCAGTACTGAGAGGGAAGAATTGACCACTATTTCTCAGAGACTCAATCTGTTGGGTCAGAACCAGGCCATAACACTTATTGGCCAGCCAAGTGAGTAAATAAAGGATTAAACACAGCAATAATAAGTCATATAGAACTAAGAGTTTTATACCGTTATATGCCATAAATGTATAGTGGTGGAAATAAGGTACATTTTAGAAATGCAGAACACCTCTTGTACTACAAATGCTTTTAAGGCAAGTGCTTGCATTTGTCAAGTAACAGCTGCAGCCCCAAGAAGCCAATAAAACAGCCATGGCCCTAGCGTGCTCCAAATGAAGATAAATTGCAGAAAAGACTGATAAAGTAACTACCCTCCCTTGCTTTACATACACAACAGTCTTAAGACTATATTAAAGTTCCTGAGCTGGGACTAGCGTGGATAGTCCCTCGATACTGACACGCCGAGATGATGAAAGGTTCCTCCCCCATTTCAAAAAGAAGATAGAATAACTCACTACCACATATTCTTCCCTGGAGGCCATCAAAGAGTGAGACAGTCTCTTTTTATTGATGGGCTGACACAGGATTGACTCGGGTAATAAATAAGCCAGATCCTATAGCAGACAGAAGCACAGATCCAGGGACCGAGTAGCTCAGGTGCCACTACAGCAACCTAGAGTTAAGTACTTGTAGGTGAGCCTCAAAGAGCATTTTTCTAAAAACAGCAGCTGAATACAAAGCATCTGAAACGCTCACATTGGTTATGCTCGCAATGGCCCAGCAACAGCTGTGAGTGATTGAGTGCCCACTCAGCATATTCAGTTGTCTTCAGGCACTAGTCCCGCCCACCATTTTGAGTCTGATTTTCCTGTTAGTAGAGCAGCCTGGAAAGAACCTGGTCACTTGTGGATGTTAATGACGCAAGCCAGCAAGGGAGAAACCGTTTTCAACTCCATAAAGGAAAGTCAGAGATAAGCTGTCTATTGCTTCCCTTTCACCCCTTTTAGAAAGAGGATGGTCCCTACCCAGTGTTGCCTGTGGTAATGCTGGGACGGGTATGTGTGCCCAGAAGTGCCGCCAAACCCCTATGCACAGCACTGCTCTGAACATTTAGTCTGTAAGAGAATACAGTCTAAAACAATATTTGACAGTGACAAATAATGAAGTGCATTCTCCTGAACTCCCAAGAAATAAAAGGACTAAAAGTAGTGTGAAGTTGAAAATAAACTGCTTCTGTAAATAGTCATTAACTTTCAGCACCTGGTTCCTCCATTTTATAGGGCGTTTTGAACTCGTCTCAAAATTCCTATGTGGATCTATTGACAGTGGTGGACCTGACGTGCCACATGGGAACAGGCACGAAGGTCACACGGGCCCTGAGAAAGGAGACGCTCGGCCGCCCGATCAAGTCACATTTTTGTGAGGTCAATAATGGGCACCTTTCTGGTTAATAAAAGCAAAATAAAAAGTTCAATTACCACACGCTTCGTATTTAGAGAGGCACTAATGATGTCTAAGAAAACAAATCAGGCCACTTCTTGCATTTCTGCTTTTCCTGATTGACTGAATCAAAGGTACTTGCCAGTCAGCAGGTTGAAGTTACAACGCGTCCACTGGTCAGTGTCTATGTGGTAAGAATCGATATGCCGCACGAGGACCCGGTCGTTGTTGTAGTCCAGGTCGTTGCCTCCAAGGACATAAAGCTTCCTGCGCACGGCAGCCATGGAATGGTAGACCCTCCGCTGCAGCATTGGGCTGCGGCTTATCCACTTATTCTGAAAAAAGAAATTCAGGTGAATTCTGTGAAGAGGAGACCTCCATGGCAGAAAACAGCTGTGCCTCATTAGTAGTGGGGACCCCAAAGTATGTCAGTGACATTCTATTTCAATGTTTATATCCTTTGAAAGGTATGGGCCGCTGAGAATAAGTGTAGAAGAACCCACATATGCCACCCTATTTTCCATCTTACCCAAAGGACTTCCTTGTGTTTGGGTTGCACTTTATAGAGCATTTTGCATTTGTAAGGGGAGCATATGAGAATATAGAAGTTTTCATGATGTTTATCTCATCCACTTGAGAGACCTTACTCATGCAAATTACTTAAGAGTGAAAGTGCATGGCTAGGTGTACTGTGTACGGTGCTCTAATGATTAAGAAACAGGCTCTGGATCCAGAATGCCTGAATTTATAACTTGTGTGTGACCTTGAGCAACTCACTGCACCTCTGTGCCTGTTTCCTCATCTGTAAGATGGGGATAAATAATACCCACCTGACAAGCCTGCTGGGAAGATTAAATGAGCTAATACACACATAAAGCATTTTAAACAATGCCTGGCACATAATAAATGCCTAACAAATGTACACTTTAAAAAAAGTATTATGATAATTACCGACTACCCAAGGCCCCTACGTAAGCTAGGGTGAAGGTGGCTTTGTTGTTCTTTGCAGAAATTAACCTCTTGAGATGATCGGAAGAGCTAAGATTTGGTTCAGCAACGAACGCCCTCACTGCCTTTCCATCAGCCTCCTTTAACATGTTTACAATCACATTTTCTGCCAAATTGGTAACAGTTATTTCTAGGCACATATTTGTTTTGGTAGAAGGCCACATTTTATATGATAACTTTAGGGAATGCTGAAACCTCCAATATTTGGTTCTAGGTTACTCTCAATAATAAAAAAATGCAAGCTTGACTCCTCTTACACTAAGGCTTCTATTTAAAATATAAAGTACAATTAGATGAAAATAAAATATGGCTTTACTTTTAAATCTTAACTAAGTAATGGACAGGTAAGTAAATCTAACCATTTCCTTTCTATATAAACACAAAATATACAGGAATAACCCAGATTCCTTCTCGCCAAGAAAAACTTGGATTTCAACCAGAAAAAAAAAATCATATGATGTTTTGAATACATAGAATTTCACCAGTTCACAAAGCTGTAAAGGAAGAAGAAAAAAACGCTTTGTGTAAATATTGGTTCATTCACTAAAGGCATATTCACTAGCTCATTTCTAATTTCTGTTTTAATGATACATTCAAAACAAAACAAAAAAAAATGAAAGTGGTTTGTACAATTTGAAAGACTTGCATTTATGTGCTTCTCCTTTTTAAACATGCCATAATAAGAACCTCCTCCCAATTACATGTCTTCTTTAATAAAATAGCCAAACCTTTCTTTCAGGTATTTTGCTAAGAAATATCGTTAATATATTACACCCGAGTGGATTTTAACTCAAAACCCCGATGATGCTTTCCTTAGGTGCCTTCTATGAGGCACCCTGTTTCAGTGTTAGAAATCAAGGTTTGCATTCACAGCCCGGTCCTCTGCCATAGGACTATGGACACCATCTGGTTTGCAAAGCCTGCCTGCATCCCCTGATTATATCTTTAGCTTCCTTCACTGCCGTGCCTGCCAGGTGAGCCGCCAACCACTGCAAAGGCAAAGCAACAGAGAGGCCTGGTGGGGTCATTCCTAATAAGCTAGCATGTGAATACTAATCAGTGGTGGGGAAGCAGAGGTCACCCCAGCCTGCCTGTTGGCAGGTAGCGATGTGCTCTGTGGCAGATGGCAGGCATTATCGACTCTCCACAAAGGCCTAGTAGAAAAATAAGCACCAGGTCTGAATGATAGAGTTATTGAGATTCTGAGCAAGATGCAAGCAGATGTGATGTTTCCCAGTACCCACCATAAACAATATGCCAGCAGAATTTAAAAAAAAAGAGCATGTGTGTACAAACATGAAACAGGACTCATTTGAGAAATGTTAACACCTTCTTTCTCTTTAACCACGTGTACACCGAACTCAAGCAACTGCAATTAATGATCCCTCTTGAGACATCTGGCCCATGGACATGTGGTCTCTGAAACCTACAGCTTCTAATGACATCAGGAAACAGGCTTGCAAAGACAGATATGCCTTCATTAAATTCAGAATCAAGTAACTTAAAATAAAAAGATACCAAATAGACTGAGATCACTCTGGACATACGTGTGGTGGCTAATCCCAAACTGGACAGCCAAAGTTAACCTGTTGTTTTATGTTCCATTATCTTCAGCTGATGAATATTAAATCCCCAATCAATTATTTGGAATATTGCCATAATCATTAAAAATATTTATATTAGCAAAATAATACAAATAGTGAATTTCTGAAAATATTTGCCATGGTTACAGATATTTTGGTAGAAGGAAAGAGAATAAAAATAGTTCTTCTTTGGGGGAAAAGAAGATATTAAGTGTGCATGCAAATGGACAGAAGGACGGACAAGCACCATCCAAATGCTTCCAACTAAGGCACCAGCTGTTAGATGAAAAACATAGTCAAACTCTTTAGATACCTCTGCTTTGGACTTGTCCTAGATTCTGTTCTAGGACATTTTGGCTATACTGAGTTAAATAAAAATTATTTTATTTTAGGATAAGGACACCATAAGCATGTTCCCCTCCTAGAATGACAAGCCTTCTAAAAGGACAGAACAACAGGACAATCAAAATCCTTTATTTGGCTGAGTAATATTCCATTGTGTTTATATACCACACCTTCTTTATCCAATCATCCAGTGAAGGATGCTTAGGTTGTTTCCATGTCTTTGCTACCTTGAATAATGCTGCAGTGAACATAGGGGTACATATATCTTTACAAATAAATGTTTTCAAAATTTTTGGATAGATATCCAGAAGAGGGATTGCTGGGTCATATGGTAATTCTATTCTTAATTTTTTAAGGAAACTTCATACTGGCTGTACCAATTTACATTCCCACCAGCAGTGTATGAGGGTTCCTTTTTCTCAGAACACAGCCTCTCCAACACTTGTTACTACTTGTCTTGTTGATAATAGCCATTCTAACAGGTGTGCCATTTGTGACATAGATGGATCTTGAGAACATCAGAACATCATGCTAAATCAAGTCAGATGGAAGAAGTCGAGAACCATATGATTTCACTCATGTGGGATATACAACTAAAAGTAACAAACGAATAAGACAAACAAAAACTCAGACACAGATGAGTTTAGTGGTTACCAGAGGGAAGGGGGGAGGGGGAGAGGCAGAAAAGGGTAAACAGGGGTCAAATACATGGTGACAGGAGAACTGACTCTGGGTAGTAAGCACACAATGCAATATACAGATGAGTTATACAATTGTATGCTTGAAACCTATATAATTTTATTAACCAATGTCACCCCAGTAATCTCAAAATTAAATGAAAAAATAAAAATCCTTCCTTTGCATGCCTCTGAATATGAACAGCCACTTGAAATAATGGCAATAGAGGGCATTTAACTCATCATATCCTTCCCTTCATTCTTATATTGTGCACAACTGTAAACAAGTTAAGCGTTTTGTATAGCACAAACCTAAAGGAGCTGAAATTTTATGAGAAAAAAAAGCAACCCAAAAGTAGTTTATCCAGATGCTTGCTTTTCTCTGCATAAGTTTAAGATGCACGTGCGTGTGTAGACTTGGCATTGCAACTACTAATTACGGTGGAAATCTTTGAAAATTCATTTTAATTAAGGTAATGAGCTTTTCTTATATGATTCTTACCTGGTTAGGTTCATATACCATTAGTCTGTTCTGATATTGTGCCGTGTTAGTTACTCCACCTGTAATGGATTAACATGTGTTAGAGCTTTCATGAGTAAGAAATAGGATATTCCAACATAAGAATGAGATACAATTAAAGGAAAATTACCTACTGCTGAGGATCTGTTTGTATACCCTTGTGGTGAACCCATGACATAATTAAAAAGCTTATTGTTGAAGCAGTTTCATTTTCAAGAAACGTTTCAACAGCAATCCAGTTGAGAGCGAGCAACAAGTATGCTGAGATTGCCAAAAGGTCCCCAAGTCTGGCAGCTGTTCTGCACGGCCAGAATGAGGGGGCAAGTACAGCAGGGGAAGTGGGGATGAACACAGCACACAGACACATCTCTATGCAATTTATGTCAGGAGTTATATGGAAAAGTCTTGTCTTTAGCTACACTGGCAATTTTACAGCTCTAATCGATACATTCACACAGTGATATCTTGACATCTCCTTGGAAGAACCACATTTAGAAAAGATGTCACTTATCAAAAGAGATCTAGAGTCAGTGCTATTCAATCGAATATAACAAGAGTCACAAATATGAGTTACACATGCAATTTAAAATTTTCCAGTAGCCACATTAAAAAGTAAAAAGAAATAGTGAATATAAATTTTACTTCACTCAGAATAGCCGAAATATATCATTTCAATGTGAAATTAATGTAAAAAATTATTGAGATCTTTTTTTTTTCTCATACTAAGTCTTCAAAATCCAGTGTGCATTTGACACAGCACATCTCAATCCAGACCAGCCACACTGCAGGCGCTCAATAAGCCACATGCGGATAGTGGCTACCATACTGGACAGCACAGCTCTTGGGTACTGCAGCGCAGTTGCTGTTCTCAACGTTTTTGAAGCCCTTTTGATGACGACTGCTTAGATCCAAAAGACTTGAGAACTTCCGCTTAATCAAAAACCACTTAAAAATCATCACGCTTTCAGCTAAGTTTCTCCTATTTGTCCTCATACTTCTTTTTCTGGTGGTGTACAATGAACCCTGGAAAACCCAGAATTTCTTGATGCTACTTTAATTTTTACCGTTAAATGGACAAACTAAAAAACAACATATAAAACAGCACAGTGAGAAAATAATACTAGGCGGTATCAAATGTTAGGAAATAACAGAAATAGGGGAACCCCCCAAGTTCTAGCTTTAGAAATGTTACCCTATACATAGTACCAGATACTGGTGTAAAATGAATAACATTCTTATTTTACTCAGTATCACAAAGAAGCAGCTAACTTTTCAATAAAGATCTAAAATTAAGCCAGACTAAAGAGTTTTCTATTGAAATTTGTTGAATTAAAAAAAAAACACAGTACTGTTACAATACTAGCCAAGACAGCCTTAACATGCCCCTTGGCTTAACTAAACTTTAGACAGACTTCTTTTAGTCTCCAGGCCCCTGACCTCCCATTTCTTACAGACTTTACTTTAGAAAACTTAATTGTAAATTCTTTCTCTGCCTCTGTGAGATGTAAATCATCTAAGGACCTTCTTGCAAGTTTTACAAACTAGGAATATCTTTCTCCAAGTCCTGGTAGAGATCCCATAGAAATGTAATCCTCAAGGAAGATAATGCCCCTATGTCCCCATTTTCTGTGCCTGGGTAGGTGCCTAACTTTGATGGGTGCCAATCAGCAAACACAAATGGCCTAATCACAGAGAAAAATATTTATAAACTCAGGGATAACTGAATGTACTCAACTGCATCAACCTCCTTCCAAAAGTCCTTCAGTACTTTTCCACTAGCTTACCCCAGGGCTTGAAGATCCTCCTGCCTCTTATTTTTCAGGAGTTGATTTCAGACTGCATTCTGGGCTCTCTCCAATAGTGCCATAGTCTTGAACAAAGTCTTCCTTGTCTGTTTTTCTCTGTCTATTATAATTTTTGCTTTGATAGTTCAAATACCTTGAATAGGTCGCCACCATCAACTCCATGGCCAGGAGTCCAGTAAAACCAGAATCCAGGGGATTAGTGCATACTCCTCCCCTGAGCTGGAATCATCATCAATCAATACTAAGGGATATTAAAGGGGAGGGAACCTGTCCAAGCCAATTATTACTCTCTCAGTCAACTCCAGTAAGAAGATTATATCTTCCATGTAATTGACCATGGATATTATTAACTGGAGGGCTTTTTTTTTTTAAATTTTCTCTGATGCTTGCAACCACTTTGAAAGCCCAATGAAAGCTTTATCTGTGGAGAAAATCTAAAGAACAGAGAGAAATGAGCTTCCTGCCCTCAAAGAAAGTCTTTTCTGCCTTTCTCATCGAATGTCTCATTTAAAAAATGAAATCCAGGGAAAAGAAAACACACTTAAGAAAGCACAGGCTGAAATGCCAACATAGAGTCAAAATGTATGTCAAAATAAACACAGAGGTATGTTTGCTTTTTCCTCCCAACCTTCCTTTTCTTATCTGATTAAAAACTGACTGTCCAATAATTCTTTCTCAGCACAACTACACAAGAATAATCAAATCTATTGAGACCGCACACATCTTCAGTGTTAAAATGATTGCCAAGTTTTGATGTGGGCCATAACCACCAGATTAATGTCCAGCTCACCCATAATCATTTCTCCAAATGAGAGGGAACAGAGGGTCAAGCTCCCACCCACTATTTCAAAACATTGACGGTTTATCTACTTGTTTTAGAAATATGGGACAGAATTAATATCTACTGCAGTAAACTATCTGTTTATGACACTATTTGAAAATATTTACACTACTAGATGTATCAGACTCTACCCATTATAGATTAAATGCACAACCAATGGATTAGAATGTAGCTATTACATCCTCTCTCCCAAGCACAGCATGCAATTTATCATGCTCTTCAAAATTATTATTCACCATCTTCCACAGATGCATCAGATGTATTTATAATACAGTTTTTTCCCCTGTAATCTGCACTCAGTAATTAGATTCCTTACCCTTCCATACAAATTTTCACTCACAAGACAATGTTCAGAAATGAGATACTGGGTTAGTAGTTGGAAGTAAAAATAAAAGTCCTAGTTAGTTATTAGGTTGATTACTTCTAGGATGTTAAACCACAGGAGGTGCCTAAAAACACCTACTGCTATAACTTTTGCCATGTCAGGACTGCGAGGGAAAACCTTAGAAATTGGTTCTATTGCTTTTCCTCTTTGAAATATGTTACAAATGAGCATATAAATAAAAAACCATTTCTTCTCAGTACAAAAAAATAAATAAATTTTAAAGAAAGCATCCAAGTTCACAGTCCACATTTCTTTAGTGGTGTGCTACTCATTGCAGAGCTTTATCATTACATCCCCTTCACATAACACTCTTCACTTTTAATCTGCAGAAATGAGATGCTAAGGATTTGCATACAGATTTGACGATACAAAAATAGATATGGAATTAATAACAGTCTCTATATGTTTTAATTTCTCCTAGACTGGAGTACCCTTGCCTGCAGCAGTGTTCCTGACTTTGAAAGTCATCAAGCTGATTTGTCTGCTCTGGGTTACGATGCCACATGCTGCTATACTGTCCTCTGCAATCAAAGCCCTCGCAGAGAGATTCCACGCCATTGAGTATATTTCATAGATTGGCAGTTTTGATCTCCCTCCCCCACCCCAGGGGGGATAATCTGCATCTTAACAGCTTTCTATAGATACATCTGTCATTAAATATGCCATCTTGTATCAGCATCCACTTTGAAAGCCAAGTTTTCCCCTGGCTTTCTCTTGAAAAGTTAACTTTTCAGCCAAAATTAAAAATGAACAAACCCTGTCTTATACTTTCGCACTGTGACTTTAACGATATACTGCAGGTTCCCCCAAAGTCAAATAAGTCTTTAAAAACTGCCAGAAGGAATGAAAAGTGAGCACCATGCTACCAGCCGTGAACAGTGCTTTCTATCATCAGGACAAGAGTAAAGCATTTTTCTTAAGCTTCCCTGTTCAACTCCCCACAACACGTTGTGACAAACGGATGAATGTGTTCCGGGGAGAGGATGACAGGTGACTGCCACACGAGCCACCTTCATCTCCGCTACTGAGAATTCACCAACTCCCAAACTCACTGTGTTCAAGTGCAACAACAGGTCAATGCTGACAGAGTCTATCAAATAGTGTGTTTAGAGAAACAGCTTTCAATAGACATTGGTCAGGGCAGGTAGCTGTGCGAAACTTTTTTTGTTTTTCAAGGACAGAAAATACTTCCGTTGATAAATAGAGTCTTACACTAAACTCTTCAGTAGAGACCCGTGGTACCTAAGGCAGCGCTAGTATCCTTACTAGGAGGAGCAGGATGCAAAGAACTGAATGTGGGGCCAGAGGGTGGCTCAGCTGGTTAGAGGTCAAGCTCTGAGCAACAGGGTTGCTGGTTCGATTCCCATGTGGGCCAGTGAGCTGTGCCCTCCACAACTAGATTGAAGATGACTTGAGCTGAGCTGCTGTTGAGCTGCCAGATGGCTCAGTTAGAGTGAGTGCTCTTAACAAAGTTGCCGGTTTGACTCCTGCATGGGATGGTGGGCTGCACCCCCCACAACTAGATTGAAAACGGTGGCTGGACTTGGAGTCTGAGCTACACCCTCCACAACTAAAATTGAAGGACAACAACTTGACTTGGAGCTGATGGGTCCTGGGAAAAACACACTGTTCCCCAATAGAAGTTAAAAAAAAAAAAAAAGGAAGAAGGAAGAAGGAAGAAGAAGAACTGAATGGGTCCAGGCTCTTAGGGAAGACGCTCCAGGCTGGAATTCCACTGGCCAGTTAGGATTGGGGAGAACCATACCCAGTTTTCTCACCCTCTTGGAGGCTGCCAGCTTCACACTAGTTGAAGGGGGCAGTTTCGGGACAGGCCGTGGCATCAACAGGCTCCTGTATGACTCTATCCATGGGGGAGCCATCTCACACAACCTTCCTCATGATCAAATCGGAGATGATGATACCGGAGATGATGGTACCTTCTCCTAGGTTTTAGGTGAACTACAGTGCATGGTGCAGGGGCAATCCACAAAGGGACGTTTACTACAATGC